TTTCTTTAAGAGATTGGATTTCTTTCTCATATCTAATATATTTATACTTTAACTTATTTATATATTTCTTATTGAACTTATTAATTGAAACTTCATTAGATAACTTATCTTTTAAAACTTGATTTACTTACTCTAATTCTAATTTCTAATTAGATACTAATTTACAAGATATTTGATTGGAATGTGATTAATAAAATATCATAGCTATTTTTTATAGTATATTATATCTTTCATAAAAAGAAAACTTTATTTCTTAAATTATCTCTGAACTTTGTCAAAATATAGTTTATTACTATAGTAAGATATATCTAAAATGAGTAAATTAAGCAAGTTTATTATTAGAATTAATTTAGATGAGAAATTAAACTTAATATGTAAATTATTTTTTTATTATTTCACTAGTTATTATTTCAATTCTTGAAAGTTATATAATGATATCAGAGATAAAGAATATAATTTTTCATATAAAAAAGTTTGTAGATAATTATATAATCAGAATAAATAGTAAAAATAAGCTCTGTCATTGAAAAGTATTTTACGAGTTAGTTATGATAAAATTTTATATTTAAATTACATATATATGTATGATTTATTATATCTTACAAATGATATTATTAATAAAAAGATATATAAATGGGCACTTACTATTATAAATATTGCATCATATTTTAAATATGCTATTCTTCTTATATTAAAAAATAACTTAGATGTTATCAAAGTTTTCAAAAAAATTTATAATAATCTATCAAATTCACTTATATAGTCAACACTTTTATAATGCAATCAAGAGCATGAATTTATAGATGAGATGAATAAAATAATAGAAGAACATAATGTAATAATTAGATTAATTGACACATATAGTCATCAGGGTCTAGCAATTGTAGACAGATTCTGTAAGACTCTTGCAGAAATACTTTATAAAATCTAATATAATGTTAAAAGTATATTCTCAGATCCTAAATTAATAAGAGCATGGATTAAGTATTTGCCAGAAGTAATAGATTATTTAAATAATTATCCAACATGTCTTATTAGAGCTCCTGGATCCTCGAAGTAGGGGTTAGCACCAATAAAAGCCATTAAATTAGAAATGATTCATTTTTAGTGCGGATGTTCGAAGATCGCCCCATAGGGCCTGGGTTGTTAGATGAGTTGTGTATTATTGTCATATTTTGCGAGTGATCACCCGGAAAAATTTCTGCCGAAAAGTAGGGTAATGTGATACACGCACTTTGTAAACGAATCATGTTAGTGCCGATCCGGAATTGTTGATCACGAGCTAAATTTTGATTCCCAATTCATTAGGTTCATTAACCGTAATATTTTGCCCAACATGAATGTTGTTTTGCGCTCGAATTATAGCACCTGTGGTACTTGCTCCGCTAATGAAACTACGAATTAATTACTTAGAACGAAATCCTTTTTCCTCTCATATACATGATTGGTAAAAGAGAAGGCGAGAATAAACCAGATATAATTCGTGTTAAGAAAAGACATCTATTTGCTGTTGTATAAAAACGATTAAGCTGATTTCTTATTATGGAATAATGGCACTTACGTGCCTGACACCAATTCAGGGCCTACCAATCAGAGAAATTATGCAAATATTACGATCGGCAAAGGTAACGGATCGTTCATAGAAAAACAATTAATGTATGTCAATACTATGTTATCTGAGATCGCCCATAGAGAATAAATTACTAATTTATCGATTGTAGTGTTTTGCATCTCTAACAGAGTGATCCATTGAAACTACTAGTACTATGTGCTGTAGCACTAACTCCGCTATAAAACAATGTGTATTTGCCATAAAGAATCATTATAAGCTGTTATCATATCTCTTTCTAATCTCCAAATCTTCGCACTGAATATTTTAAAAGAAACCAACCATACAATTGTCCAAAATATCGATGTTACTGAACTAGCACCATGCTCAGAATGTGATAAAAAAATTTTAACAGTTAGCTATGAACCATTTACAATCCTCGCTTGTGGACACACATATCATAGATATTGTATCGAGAAAAAATTTTCACTTACAGATTCAAATATATGTCCTATTCCTGGTTGTAATAAATCTGTCGAGCCCATGGTCTCTGAACGAAGGTTTTCTCAACAATCATCTCAGTCAAGTACTTCATCGATAGTTAGGAGAATGAGTACTCTCAATATAGGAGTAATCCAAGAAGATGAAGAAATGGGTGATGCAGATGATGATGCGGATGGATCGGTAGATACTCCAATTGAAAACTCTCCCAATCTTAGTAAGGCTTGCATCGCTCCACACATTCCCTGATCTACTGTTCCCATACCTAAACGAGACAGAAATGGGTGGGTGGAAACATTTTAAAAGGACAGTATATCTACGTTATGGTTATTTGTCGCTTTATTTGTGATAAAAACTAATATCTACAATTTCCAAAAAATGTCTGAAAATTACTTTTACCTCAATCGCAATCAACCAAACCGTGTATTATATTTCAAAGAATGGCTCACCAGTATTTATCTACCAAGTGTTAAAATTTTGAGAAGAAATAACGTTAATGTTGCAGAATCCCAATATCGCCAAGAGGTTCAAGACGCTATAACCACTTGTGGCGAGGTCCATTCAAATAGTAAACAAAAGCTAGAAACAATCTTATCACAGTTTTAACTCCATGTCCAAGGTATGTAGTATAAAAAATATTGTATCTCTTTCAAAAATGATGATATATTTTTGCAGAAAAGTGGTGGATATAACAACATAGGCCTATGTTGCTGTCTGTATCTGGGTGTGCGTGATATTGTATTAGCGTATATCTTAGCTTGCAGAGTGCTGGCACTGTAAGCATCAAAGGGTACAGTTCAGGAGATTCGTCGTTCCGGTGTGATTCCTCACATTAGGTTCGGTATGAGCTATGCCTTGTGTACCTCGTCGCTGGCCGTGGGCATGGATCTTATAATTATTATGAAAAATGAATGACCTCACAATAACTGATTTATGAGACATATTATATAAATATCTTATCTCAAAAATGCTGGTTAAATTATATTTCTTTCTGATTCTAGGAGCAACGTCGGACATTTTATAAGGAAGTTTGGACCAAAGAAAAGGAGAAGGTAAGCATATTTATACTTGTGATTTATACTGAACGATCTAAACGCATTTTTTCTCATAATTTTTTACTATACAGCGTCAAACTCTAGAACAAGAACGTAATGTCAATATAATTCAAGAAAATATCGAATTTATATTAGGCAGATGTGTAAGTAAAAACCGGATTTCTGATTTATTTGTGATATTTGATGCTGATATGATAATTATTATCTTAAGAGAGCTAAGATAGAAAATGGTTGCTCAGATACTATCATGCTTGCATATACCGCCATTTGGAACGGTTGGATTTGGCATCGATTAGGCCAGAAGCTCCTATAGCATCCGGCGTTATTGATCTTTCGGGTAGTGAAGATCCATTTACAAATTTATTATCATCGAGGACAAAGCAGATTTTGATGCATCACACATTCCATAACGATGATTTCCCGGGAGAAATAAATATGATGATGGATGATTTCGTAAGCACATATAGAGATTTGGGACCCGATTTTGATCCAGCATTCATGGTACCAATCGCTTTCCCACGTGGAGAGATGACCATTGAAACCAGACGTATACTGATGACGGTTTTTGACTTATTAGAAGGATTGTAAGTTACTAGTGTGTAATTCTATTCATGCTTACTTTATATTTTCCAGGCGTCACATCTGGGGCTGCAGACCGTTGTTGACAGAAGATGAATATAGTGAGAATGCTTATGTGATCCATGCAGTATCAAAGGTTCTGGACCCAATCCTCAAATATTCAAAATGGCCACTCAAGCGTGCATGGTAATGTATCTATATAACTATATATGACGTATTATCTATTCTAACTATATATATTTCAACATATATAGGTCTGAGCAGACGAGTAAATCATCACAATCTAGGATGGAAGCTACGAATTCGGGGAAGAAGCCGGATCTGCAGGTTTTGCTAAAGCTTGATATGGTAGAAAGTGAACTCGTACTTGCTGAAGTTTCACGATTACTCCCTCAACAAAGTAAAGAAACTATAGACTGGAAGAAATTGGTACGTATTTGCAAAGATTGTTTTGATGAGCGATATAATTTTTTCTTTGATGGGAGAGACGATACCACCGACACGGCTAGATTGTTAAATATCGAGCTAGGGAAAGTTCCCGTTTTAGGTATCCAAGTAATACGAGATCGTGTGACTGTTTCCGCGTTAGACTTATTTGAAGATGATTTTTATCGGATTTTTCAGATCTGTTAGTTGGTTATACCATTACGTATTTCCTCTCGCCAGATCGTTGAAGAATTTTTAAAGAATGCTCTTAAATTGAGATCCGTGGTTGAAAAAATTATCACAATGGCGGTGGGTGTGAAAGATGAAATTAATCTTTTGCCAGTAATCGAAGATCGGACACCATCATCATCAATGATGTCGGCCATATATTCTCCACCAAGAAGTTATTAGGTGATTCGGATAAATTTACTAGAGTATCTTATTTCTATCCTGTATTTTATCGTATGATTTATTTCGTATCAATAAAAGTAGCTCTGGTGGCTGAAATATTATATACTTTGTGCGTTAGGCATTCACCCCAGCCTCTGGCTAAATTTTTCAGATAATCGTTACCATTATCTATCGGGCACATGATCGACTGTCGTATACTGGAAAAATAAACTATACACCTAAAATAGTCATCCCGAAATAGATTTAACCCCGGAATAGATCGTGCAACGATTATCCCAGAAATAGAAACAATCTTGATTGGTTGATCGTTGTAAATATGCAACTTGATTTGCATGTTCCACGAGGCTATTGCGGGTTTAGGTTCGGCATTTAGCCGGCTCATGCCTAGAGCCATTTCTTTGAAATATAACGCATGACATCGCTCCCATGTGATTCGCATATTTCTTTTTTTGGTAGTTTGTCGGTGGACCATCGTTATTATTTGATCATTAAAATAATCACCGCTTCTTCAACTATACTCAATATTCTCGTGAATGTGCGATACGAGTAACTCTACCTTCACCACTTTCAATGTATCTTCGTCTGAAACAGACATGGACGATAGTCGAGGTAAGTCGATTTTTTTTTGTTTACTAATT